GTTATCCTTAAAATTCGATCGGTAAAAAAAAGAAGAAGAGAATGGAAAGACAAATCCGATTTTATGGTCGCTTGTATATGAGCTGCGGGATAAACGTGAATGAGAACAAGCCTGTCATTCTCATCCCCTAACTCCCTTGCGGATAATGTCGATCAACGAGTTTGTTATCTGCATCTGTTAGTATAAATTTACTATTATTTTACTCCTATTGTCTTTTGTTGCTCCAATTATGATGATTACTTCTAATACAACGCAATCATTTGATGTTGCAATTAATTTATCAACTCTTTTACGCAATTAAATATTTTTTCTGATACCTAAACATTTTTTTTCAAGCTTACATAATAAAGAAAAAAGTACTTATCAATTAGATTTTCAATTATTATTTATTTTTAATTGAAAAAATTTTTGTTTTTTAATTCAAATATTTCTTTTAATCGAATATAATTATTTATTAATTAAATATTTATTACAAGCTTCAAACTGTGAGCCTCCAGGCTTTGAAATCGTTGAATAAAAAAATTATTTTATTTTTTATTATAAATTTTATTGCGTGGTTCCATAAGACTACAGCTCATATTTCTACGTGGAAATGCACCTGAGACTTCGATAACGGAAATTATTCCCAAGAAATGAAGAAACGAACTCACGGTGCTATACAATCATGAACGATGGACTGCGGGCAGTGCCTGGTAATACAATAAAATAAACTGTCAGCAGCAGCAGCTAACATAAAAATGCTAAAAAGCAGCCCCACTGGACTCCTCACTCGTGCCATCACAGAAATACGTCGATCGTAAGATCGTAAATGTCTTCTTAGATGAATCATCTTTCGTATTGTCTATTCGAATTTTTTCTCATCGACTTAAATACTCTACATCGATATTTGATAAGAAATAATTTTATAAAAAAAGTATTTTTATTTTTTAGTTTGTAATAAATAAATGTCAGTCATTAATTGATTATTCCCCCCTCTCTCTCTCCATGACAATGAAGTGTCACTTGGAATTGTTAATTTTTAACTGGATGACATGATAACTAAAATGAAAAAAATGGATTGCAGAATATTAAAATAAGTCAACCGGTCGATGCTCCTACCGGTCGATGACCAACGACTTAAAAATGTTGTCATGTCTTTGACACTTATTCTGTCGCATCAGCAGTTAATTTATAAACACAGTCAGTCTGGAATCTCATCGTTTAGATTCTAACTTTACACTTTTATCATAATATATTATTTATATATAAACTTCTTTATACGCAAACTTTAGAAAGAATGTATTTTTTTCTCACGAGTTTTGAGAGATAAGTTTTATATCCATCACATCTTACGCAGCAAATTTCACTTACCCCTCTTGTATACTTCGCCTTTTCTTCTCTCTCAATTTCTTCTATAATTAAGTCAAAGTAACGTTATCATCATTTTATAAATAAATACAAAGATTTAGAAATATCTTTTTCATTTCATCCTTTCGTATTAAAAGTTTGCTCAATAAAAATAATTCTTATCAACTTATTCATCCATGACCAACATTAATTCCATTAAAATAATTCTGTTTTGAAATAAATAATTTTAATATAATATTTTTATCATTTTTTTAACATTGCATTGATTAGAGTCGTATTATAAAAAATATATTTTAATTTAAAAATATATTAATATAATAATTATAAGTATAATATAATGAAATATAATTAAATATATTTATATAGAGATTATTTAAATATAATGAAATATTAAATATTATTGTTTTATAATATTTAAATATATTCAATATATTTATATAGAGGAAAAGGTAAGCTTATGGTCCAATTTTTAATATGGTCCATTCATTTATTATGTAAGCATGATGTGTCTTTAATCAGCTGATCCACAAAAATATTAAAAAATAAATTCTTGGCAATGAACAGGAACTTCGAAAAGTGACATTTGATGATGATTGAACAGAATAAAATTTAATTAAATAAAAACAAAAAATGACCCATAATCTTACCTTCTTCTTTAGTCAATTATATAGTTATATATTTTTTTATTTAATTAAACAGGATTTGGCCGAATAATTATAGCTTACAATATTTTTAAAATGAAATATATTTTAAAAAATTATATAATAAATTATAATATTATGATATTTAAATATTTAATATTATATATTGAATTATTTAATTATTATATTTTAAATGTGCACAGAGAGAAAAATATAGTTGGATTTAATATTAATAGTTCAAAAAGGACTCAACTATTTTCTGTCAAATGAGAAATTAACACAGGATTATAAATCCAACTATGGGACTCAATTATTATTTTTTTTAAATGTGGGGAGTATTGTTTAAAAATAAAATTAATTTTTGATTAAATATTTTTTGTCTTTTTTCAGCATTATATTGATTAGAGTATTGTTTAAAAATAAAAATAATTTTAAATTCGACTATCGTTAAAATAGTTCTATTCATCAAAATAGTAATCGAATGATTTTCTATTGAAAAGTGAGGGTGAAATTATAACTCTGTCATCGTCCAAGATGATTAAATTGTATTTCAACCATGCGTACAATCATCGGGGATACTTTCGCTCAGTTAAAAATGGATTTGATCAAGTTTCGCGGTATTACACCACGGAATTCCTTTATATCTGTCTTCCCTTTTTCTCTCAACTTCACTCACCATTCATCAACGTGATTGACGAGTGATGTCGTTAACGGTTTAGCCCTGAAGGCGCGTGCGATCTACTGTGATGATCTTGTTAGTACAGTCACTTGTGGTGTTCTATCTTTTTTCATCATCCTTTTACTATCCAAGTGCATTTAATCTTCAACTCTTTGTGTCAATTTACCACACCTGTTTTTATTTTTTTCCAGACTTTCAACTAAAAATCTATCATCTTTTTTTCTCTTATAATTTTCTCAATAAATTTAATTAAAAAAAGAAAAAAAGATTAATAAATCATGTAGTGAAACTTTATTCTTATTATTTAAAAATTTTAGAATTATTTTAAAAAAATTTGTTTGAATAATTTTATTGTTAAATAATGATGATGCTATCAGTAAGAGGCATTTTAATAAGTTCATTTTAATTTAAGATAAATTCAGGATTTATTCTTTTCACTCCTACTCTAAATCTAAACTGACTTAATGTATCCCAACCTACTCGTGATAGTTTCCTGCTTTTGCAAAATGTAATCCTTGACCAAAGGTCAAACCAGTCGAACTACGGACATCATTCGTCTTCTCATCGATGTTCCCCTTCACCCCTCTTACTAGCATCTCGCTTTCAATTCTGCGATTTCTGGAAATCCCCTCTTTTTACTGCAATACTCATTCTTTACTTCCTCTCGATCCTCGTAATTCTTCATTGAGTCGCCACCAAAAGTTTCTTTTCATGCCGTTTTACTGCACTTTTTCTTGTTTCTCCAACTTTGAATACAAATAAATTATCTCCAAGAAAAAAATTCATTTTAATTTTGTATATTTTTTTTTTTTCCTTTATATAGAAAATGTTAAGTTGTATGTCAATTTTGATATTTGTACGTATGTACCTACTAGTTAATGATGATTTTTTTCAAGGGTCAAAATTCATAGAGCATGGGATGAGCAGAGAGTTTTGTAGGAGACGAAAGGGTGACACACAGTAAGATAAAGATAGGCCACGGTAGTTTCGTGACTTGACAATAAAGCTTGACTCAGCCTCATGGTCATACGAATAAGTTCTCTTTTACTACCCCATATTTTCCCCTTTTCTTTGAAGGGAATGACTTCGAATGATAGATTTATTTGTCGTGCTCTAACGCTTGTGACCGCTACACTGATAAAAGTGATAGTAATAATTGCATACAACATGAGAAATAAACAGTATAAATAATAAAAACAACCATTGGAATAGAATAAAGTTTTAATATCCATGAATTATTCAGCACTCAATGGGATTAACAATAAATAACAATAATCATTGAATTCCATTAAATAATTATCAGCAAACCAAATTATTTATAAAATATAAATAAAAACAATTTAATTTATTTCAATTAATTAATAAATACTTGATAAAGTGTTGTAAAAAAATAAAAGTCAGAAAGGAATAGTTAGTTTAATTTGTTGTTGATAAAAAATTATTTAACATTTTTTTATTAATAAAAGTATAGTTGAGGATATATTTGTGAGGATAAAATGAAGATAAAAAAAGCTATCAAAATATCAGAAATTGTCGATAACGACATTTTATTATTATAATAAGTATAATCATCTTATATACAGAGTAACAGGAATGAAAACTTTCTTTTTATTTTTTTTAACAGAATGCCTTATTAATTTATAATTTATCTTACAATAAATTACAAAATAACTAAACATAATCCACAACGTTATAAAAAATATATTTTTAATTAAAAAATCAAAAATAATAGAAAAACAATTATAATTCAAGTGAAATGATTTATACTCAAAGTCATTTAAATAATCAATTTTTATAATTGTTTAATTTATACAAGTTATAACAATACTATTTATAGAATCATTCATCAATTTATTCATTAATTAATTCATTATTTATCCCTCGATTTTATCACTCTAATCTATCAACATAAATTTTATCAAATTAAATTTAAATAAATTGTTAAAGTTAATGGTTAATTAAAAAAAATGTGAATCAATATCACGAGACAGCACCTCTTGTGCAGCTTCGTTGCTGTAAAAATATATGGAAAATATTGGTACTTCGTATACTTTTACGATAATTCTCTTTTTTTTTTTAGAAATAAAAATACATTGGCTCATTAGTAACGATTGTTCTACTAGAATTAATTAAAATATTATATATATTTATTTATCTTCTAATGTTTTTATATCGAAAACATTTCGATACTTTGCACATTATTTTTTTTTTTCAAAATCAATTAACCTTGATTTAATAAATTTTTCAATACTAACTAATTGTTTCTAATACAAATAAAATAATAGTAAAAATAAATTTATTTCTTATTTTCAATTTGTTTATGTAAAAATATGTTTTTAATAATAAATCAAAATTAGTGAAAAATAATAAGCTTTCTATTACTTGTGCAATAAAAAATTTTTTTGAGACAATCAGACATTATGATATCTTTTATTACGATTATGATAAATGAAATCTGATGATTGCCTTTGTTACACATTTTTTATAATTATTTTTATGATTCTCCAACCACGTACTACGTGATTTCACAAATATATTCTTAGACCGGTCAAAGCGTTTACTCACCCCCCTTATGATTGATCTTTTGAGTAATTGCCACCAGTAACTACCTCTAGATCTACTGTAGAAAAACTTAAAATTCTCCTGCACCTTTCTATTGCACTTATTCACAATAAAATTAAAAAATTAAAAAAAAAAAAAAGAAAACGAAATAATTGCAATTAAGAAAGACTTTTTAATTATTTATCTTGCACTTTGCTGATACTTTTTTATTTTAAAATTGCTCTGGTTTAGACCAATACTCTTTTATTATTACCCTAAGTCCAACAGGCTACACGACGCTGCCGATGTCACAGATAAACTTCAGGACTTGCTGGTGCTGGTTGATGATGATGCTGTCCTGGTCCCTGATGCGGCTGCTGATGGTTTGATATTTGTGATTGATTCTGCTGCTGTTGCTGAGGAGATTGATGATGATTGTGATTATGATTGCTGTGATTTTGGTTACACCTTGCTTTTAAAATTTCATAACGTTGTCTATACATGTCTCTTTCTTGGGTCAATTGAGCATTCTTTATTTTTATTTCTTGAAGCTCAACCTTTAGAGTACTATTGGTTGTCTCTAGGTCATGACGTTGTTGAAGACGCTTACTTCGGCAATTTTGTGCATACCCACGATTTTTCAAGGTCCGTCGCTTCTGCTTCAACCGCACAATCTTCGCACACCACCAAAATATTTTTTGGTTTTAAATGAAAAGTGAATTGCTTTTTTCATCTACAGTTACGGTCAAAATTATTTAGGCAAGCTTTAGTCATTGTAAAAGATGTACGATTTAATTAAATCATCCTTTTGATGATATACATTGAACTTTAGATTTTTTTTAAATAAATTAAAACTTAGCAAAACAATAATTTGATTCAAAACAATCATAGAACCATTGGAACTCATTTATTATTCATACTTTTTGTCCGCAATCAATTAAAAATAAATTCTTTATTCACTGATAATGTTGGCAAATAGTACATCAATTAATTTTGACCAATACTGTAACATTTAGCTAGTTTTATCATGGTAAGAGCACCATTGATACAAGCAGTATAAATAAAAATGAGAGACCTTACTCACCTCCTCCCTGGGACAGCCATGGAGTCGTTTATTAAGTTCCCGGACGGAGAGGGACATCAAGACTTCATCATTCATCAGGTCATCCTGAGAGCTGCTACTGTTGCAGTTTAGATAGTGATTACTTCCTGATCTATGTACAGGACTGGGTCCACCTGGACCACATGATGTAGCAGAACACACGCTTAATGGTCTTCCAGGTTGCATTGACATGGTGTGGACACTGTCGTCCATTCCATTGAGAACTCCATTTGATGGTGGAAGGATTCCATTTGTGGGACCACCCGATCCAGGACCATAACAATCAGACATTGTTATGTATGGACCTGAAATCATCAAGTGATAGTTGGAATCTTTAATATTTAATCATAGTCAACAGCTAAAACTCATAAATACATATGATTATTTCTAGCTTTTTTTGGTTCTATTTTTTTTTATAACAAATTAAAAAAGTATATCTACAGAAAAAATGAAGCAAAATTAATTGATAATTTACCTCCGTGTCTGATATGCCTAGGAAGATGCTGAAGTTCTTGAAAATGATGATGAGAAGAAGACCACGATTCAGGTGGTGGTTCTGGGGTTTGTTCTTGAGGACAATGTGGCCTCAAATCAAGAGGTTCTTGTCTCAGAGACTGAGTTAACCAACCCATTCCACCTGTGCTCATTTGCATTTCTTCTTGAGCTAGATGTTGTTGCTGCTGTTGCTGTTGCAGATGCAGAAGAAATCCACTTTTCTCTCTCAATTCTCGATCATTGCGATGAAGCTGTAGAGGAGGTGGAGATGCTGAGACTGGTGGAGTATCAGGTGGAGTACCAGGATGAGTTAAAGTCGTTAAGTGAGTTGCACCTGGGGGAGCTTTTACAAGAACTCCATGCTGAACTTGAATATGTGGCTGACCATAAAGTGGATGAGGCTGTTCCAGTTCATGAGCAGGTGGTGTTAAAGGTGCCAGAGTCAAGCCTGTCATCTGGCTAACGAGATTACCGTTTACCATCATCGCTGGAGAACCTAATCGAACCTATTAAGATTGATGGTTCAAATAAATAAAAAAAGAAACGAATAAAATAATCAACAGAATCGGAAAGCAAACGTCAAGAGGAAGATAAGCAGACAAAACCAAAGGAAATGATAATATGTTAATGACTTGAAAGCTGAGATCACCTCGCGCTTGACGTCGGCGGGATCAAGATGATCTAAGACGAATTCTTGGACGTACTCTCTTGCAAGATGGTCCTCGGCTTCCATTTTGACCTCGTCAACCACTATTGGAACTTCTTGCGCTACCACAGCCTCTACCGCTGTTGCAGTAGGGACATATGGTAGCGTTTCTTCACGACAATTTTTTCCACTTCCGGTTACTATTCTACCTCCGCCACCCTCACCGGCGGCCTCTAAACAACCGTTCTCTTTTATTTGTGGCGTTTTTATTATTTTTTAAATTACCCAATTTGGAAGTCTTTCTATCAAGTGTTCAAAAAAAAAAATTTATACAATCCAAGTAATAGTTCTTTTAACTCAGTACTGATTGTAGATCATCAGCAACCATCATCATATACATATTTATTACACTTTAAATAAATAAAATGGCATTTAAAGATCACTAAACACTGATGTTGATTGTAGATATGGTTTGTCAATGATGTTTTGAGAACTCGAATACTGTTAAATCAACAACCCAATTTATTATCACATCAGCATAAAGTTAATGATTGTTAATCCACTAATTAGCACATGGTGAATAACAAATGATAGTTTTCACTGTTCGACAACATTTTCAAAGATCATCAACCCCACAAATCCTTCAGTAGCACACTTAAGATCATCGTTGATCACCACTAAGTTTATCTACGATCAATTGTTACTCGATAAAGTTCACATTGATGAAGTAGCTCGTGTTGAATGAAAAAAGCTACAAATCGACGAGATGGTCCGATTATAGTTGGCCGGTCACTGAGAATGGTTTCGCACCATCTAAGAGGACTATGTCAGTGCACGCTGAAAAGAGAAGCTTGAGAGAGTGCAGTTAAAATGAGGAAGTGAAAGAGAGTTAATGCAGGAGGCCAGAGAAGGCAAGGGAAGGAAATGAATTTCGCACGAGCAATAGTGGGAGGGTAAGAGTTTGGCCCACGAACCTGAGGACTGTGCGCGGCCCACAGTAGATACACCAACCGAATGAGATCTAGTCAGACCAGAGTAGTGGAGAAACTCGGTGCTCTTTCAGTCGGCCATGACGTCACACAGTAGGTGGAGCTTTGTTTAGTCAGACCTTCTAGACCATCTAGCGATTGGCTGATAAAATCCTAGATTTCTATTGGTTGTACTCCCACTTTATTCCACCCACACTTTTGCTCCAAGAATACCGTCTTTAACGCTCGAGTATCAATGCATATCTAAAGCCTCCTATCCCGAGGTGTCTATTAATTTATAAAGAGATTATTCCCATTTTTCATGAGCTACCCTGACTTTTTACGAGACATTTCAATTTACATAACTGTTAAATGATCCTGATAAAAAACTTAATTGTCTTGTTATTATACCAATATGAACATCACTTTTTTTAATTGCAAAATATTTTAGTTTTCATTAGCAAATTATTTTTTTTTTTATTCTCAAATCCATTCATTACTTCTCTCAATGATTGACATCAATGTGAGATTTTATTGTTGATTAGAAAGTGGAATAAAAATTTTTTTTTAATTATTAATTACTTTTTGATTGGTAATTAATTAAATTCTCTCTTCATAATATTAATAATACTATTTATGATTGATAAACTGACTGAAAGAAAACTGATATCAATGACTTCTTGCTAGACTAATGATTGTGTTATCAAAGTAGAGAGAACTTTGATTTTACTAGTTTTTCTTTGAATGCAATATTATAATTTAGAGTTAATCCTTTTTGAATACAATTGTTTGAGATAAAAAAAAAAAAAAATATTTCCCAAGAAAACTTATTTAAATAATAAAATGAGGCTAAATAAATAAAACTGATATAGAAAAAACAAACTGAAATGGTCTCTTAATTTTCGTACATTTGTCAAGACTCACCTAAAATAAAGCTTGAGATTAAAATAAATATAAAAAATATAATTTAATGTACTCGGTAATATATTATGAGTACATAAAATTTTATAAAATAATATGAGATAGTCGAGTGAATACTGAGGAGTGCAAACCGAGGCGGTACTCCTATACTCATGGATTCGGTGGCATGCGACAGAAACGAGACGTCAGGGGGTTGTGTAAAGGCATGAGGAGGAAAGAGGGAGAGTGCTGAGCCAGCATAGCTCGCTTGCCGTTTTACCCCTCTAGCCCCTTCAACTGGTAGCCTGCACATCGATACCAAACCTTTATCCAATGATACCTCACCAACCACTAACAAATCTTGCCATTCATGTTACACAATGATCCTAAATTTTTATACCTAAATAACAATTTTCCGTCAAGTTCATTGACTTTAATTACTAAACTTACACAATTAACTCATTGTTCTCATTAGTATTTGTCAATCACTTTTTTCAGGTGAATAATAAATAAAGTTGTCTTTTCTCAGTACAACATTATCAACTTTTTTTTAAATTCAAATTTAATTAATTGCTTATGATGGATAAAATAGTTGACTTTATATTATTTAATAAACTAATTGAAAGGTAATATTGATTATGAAAAAGATTGACTCTTTGAAAATACTAAATATTAATGAATTGGTAAAAGTTTGATAAAATTCTTTCTAATGATCCTACTGATGGTTGGAGAATTTTTAATTGAGCATTTAATTTTAATTTATTGATGCATAAATTAAATCTTTAATATTGTGTTGATTAATTAGAACTCAGGTGAGTTGAGTTCCAATTGACACCTGAATAATACCAATGTCTCCAATAAAGTTTTTTCCAGAAATATTTTCGACATTCAAAGATTTACTGGCTGAGTTGAATATGCTGAATTCATTCATGAGAAGCAGCGAAAGAGATAATCCTCCAAGTCATTTGTATGTCTGTAGCAGCGGAAATATTGAGACGCACCTCTCATCAAATGTTGGTCGCACGATGACAGATGACAATGAAGTGATAGAACGATGAGAGGGCCCATATCCTAACACTGGGGATTCTCTATTTGTCTCGCTATGAGTATTACTTGATCTGTTTGCCATCCGTGCTCAATTATTACCGGATAATCGTTTTGTATTCTTCTCTGTATTCCTGAAAACAATAAAATCTCCAAGAGTTTGTGTCATTAATCGTTACCCCAGTCTAACTGTATTTATATTCCTCTAACTAAAAAAATAATTGAGCCATATTGGTATTAATGGTCTTGAAAAGTTTAGCAGTAAAATAAATATCTGTTAAGTTTAACAACTGGATAATAATAAAAAAAAAAGTGGCTAGAAAGTTGTGGATCATTTGACTTTTCCCCTTTTACGTTTACCATGGAGACTTGAAACAATAAAAACATGGCATCAATAACAGTCCTGTGATGACAAATATGATGAATCTTCCGGCAGAAGACGGAAACCGCTAAATGTACTTCTCTTCGTCATCCTTTCCACTTTACTTGGCCATTCCATCATCTTATCTTGATATAAATCCCAACTCTGATCACATTAAATTGTTTTTATCAATCCAAAATTCTATTTTTCTGAAACATAACAATAATTTCATTTTTAATCAACATTCATTATATTTATCAACAAGAAAATTCCATATTATTTATATTTGAGCAGTCATCCTGTCAAATAATGACAATATAATAATAAATAGTAGTTTATATCCATAACAATTATAAGATTAAATCATAATAATATATTTAACAATCTAAAGATCTCATAAATAACCTTCCATCATTGGATCCAATAGTTTCATTGAAGTAACATCAGACAATTAAATATAATCCTGTTAAATTATTATCATTTTTGTTATTTTATTTTGTTAAAGAATTCAAAGAATTGTGGGAATTTTCTGTAGTGAATGTAAATATATGATAAAAATGCAAATTATGACTAGTACGGTTATCTAACCTCACAAACAAAATTCTTATCGAAGACGGATGAAATTTCTTCCAGAACCATAAAAAATAAACTACAACCCATTAATGAGGCAATTGATTGCACGTGGATAAATATTATGAAGAATAATCATACATTGAGTCGAGTTTGTGATACAATGTCATCAAGGAGACGATATGAGCGGGTGTCAGATCACATCTCGCATCTGTTATCTGCACGCGCGTAGTCACGCCTGTACGGTGACGTCACATCCGGTCAAGTCGCCGATGCAGCGAAAACTGAGAGACTCCACCGAATAGAACTTCTATTCGATATCAAGCTGTGGATAAATTTACTCCTAGAGCTGGAGAAACAAAAAAGAATCAAATTCTAGTTGCGACACGTGAATAAATTCCTTTATTGAATCATCAACTTTTTCATTTCAAAAATCCTATATTGTCTTTGTTATTATTTGGATTTTTTCAACTTATTTTTAAAAAAAAAAGGAAGGAATTGTTAGTGAATATCTCAATTTAATAGAAAAAAAACAAAGAAATTAATTATTCGATTAACAACTTTGTATGAACACATATTAATAGACTAAATCGATTTATTGATCGATCCGCGTCATCATTTTCTTGCAATCAAACGGTCAAATGTTATCAAAGTCTAATTGCACGAGAAACACTGTTGCAACTGATATCTGAATGAGGAAAGTAAACTAACGTTATAAATTTTATCACTAGTTTTAGTTTGATATAAGAATGTGACCTTCCAATCGATGATTTAATCTATGTCATGGTAAATTATAAATCTTTTAATTTTTTTCAATCTTTGCTTCATTATATAGTTTGAAAATTATCTGGTTGTTTATTAAATATTTTTTATTTTTATTAGCATAAATGTATCAAGAAGATTCACTCAATTGCTGAATATTGCAATAAATTTCTTTATTGAAAATTGGATCTCTCATTTAAATCAACATCTTAATGGGTAAAGTAGTAAATTCAATAAAAGTTTGTTTACGATAGATAATAATCTTGCTTTTGTCATTAAAATAAATAAATTACTTTAATAATATAATTATTAATAACTGACATTTGATTATTGTTCAAAAATTTTTACAGTTTTTGATTATAAGTTTAAATAATTACAGATTTTCTATATGACTAATTTTTTAATAGGTTATCTACATTATTACTGGAAAAAATGAGCATCATCATCATTTAAAAAAGAACCTTCCAAAGTTATAATAATCAAAATATGAAGAAGAAAGTGTACAACGTATCCAAACATCGTTAATTTGCAAGCAGAAATTCACGGTTGGCCTTCGACTGTGAATTAAAAGGTCAATATTACTCGACTATGCTCATCAAATAATCCGCACTGGAGCGTGGTAAATTCACATTGCTGGTAGATCTTCCAGCGTTTAATTTTCGTTGATCGCTTCACTGAGTTACCCCTTTTCCTAGCCATCGCACGTGCTCGAGACTCAATTGTCTAATTGGCAAATAAATCCACCCGTTGTTTTCGAGAATCTCTCGAGACTCAGATCACTCTTGGATCAATAGATGCCTGTGGCCTTTTTTATTTACCAATGCATGACAATCAGGACATTCTGCTGATACACCTGTGTACAGTTCACTAGAGTTTATATCGTATTTATTGACACCAGTGAGAAAAAGACCTTTTTTTTCGACCTTTCGATCTTTCCCTCAGTCAATAGAATAAGGGTGTTCACTTGTCAATATGCTTATTGCGGTGAAATTAAATAGATGCATGAACTTAGTCAGTATAAATCTTTGAGAAAGGGTATGATTATATGTATGTTATATGAAGCTTTTTTTATATTCAGCATTCATTGCTATTAAAATGTTTTTACCATTTAAATTAAGTGCAAATACTATTATTAAGTGATTCTTCTTTTTAACTCGTAACAATTTTATTCTAACAAAACGTGAGAAGAATGTTAAGTAAATTTTTTTTCGACTTTAAAGTTTTACTAAAGATTTAGTATACTACTGTAGCTGATTCTACACTTCCCAGAGAACAATACATCAGGTGAATACGACTAACAAACTATTGTCCAGTAATCGTTTCAGTCAGTCTCACTCCTACAATATGCTCGGTTCTCAATCTCGGAGCATTTAGGACTGTCATGGGTCAAAGTTCAATCGTAATTAGCAGAAACAAAAGACGTGTTAGTATACATTGTACTGTATACATGAAAGAAATTTAATGTATTAATAAAAAAGAAAATGAGAAGAGTAAATTCGTAGTAATTATCTAAAAACATTGGTAGGAATTGAAATATTTTTTATTTATGCTGCACTTAATATTTACATATTTATTTATCTTGTTCATAAATATAGCTGATAAAAAATAAAATTTATCTCTTATAACATTTATTGATGCATAATTAAAATTTCAGAGTTTATTGCGTGATGCATTTGCTCATGAGCTTTCAAAAATGCCGATTAAAATATGTAATTTAAAATAGCGAATGAGTAAAAAATACCGTGTCCATTTCTGCGATAAGTTAAAGCACTTTTTTATTTTGTAAATCCTCATTTATCAATAACAAGCCATCTTTCCGTCATTTTTTCAATCTGTTTCGTCACTATGGGATTCCTTAGTCGTATTTTTACTTCAAGTTTTCCACCAGCTGCCTTTCTTCCATTCATTAGCTATAATAACAAATTATTCATCATCAACACCTGTTACAATTAAAATTTAAAATATAATCAAATAAAGTAATTTATTTTTATTTACCGGAAATGAATCGTGTAAGACACACTGCGTTTCTAGTGGTTGAAGCTTAACAGTAACTGTTCCAAGTAAAGTATCACTTCTCAGAAACCCTCTGAAAAATATGAATAATGAGTTAAAATTAATAAATAATGATAGTGCAAGCCGTACCTGGGATGGAGGCAACACATCAAAGGATTGGTGGAGCATCTGTAAAATATTCTAATCTATTTCACAATGCTTAAAAGGAATATCGACAGACATGGATTGTAAATAGAAATTTTAAAAGGACTACAAGCAAGAAAATCCAAGCAAATAATTTTTGAGATACTTTACCCTTTTGACCACACTTGACACTTGAGTGCATGTCGTTTAAAAGCTCTTAGACATTGTCTTGAAGAACGATCCACACTTCCTGTTAGAGTGAAAGTTGCATCATATTCTGGATTACAACTATTTTTGATCGTTGAAGTTCGATCTGACGGTGGACGGTCAGAAGGATGAGGAAATTCATATATAACGTATGTATCAGCTTCTTTAGAATAATTAACACCTCGGATAATAGATATTTCCAAATCATTATCAGTTAAGTCTGTACAGCACCTAAAAAATACAAAAAACATTATAAATAATCCATCAAAAAAAAATGTTACAAATGGCAAAAAAACACTTACTTGACTATAGCATGGGTTCGTTGTTCATAGTGATGCTGTGGTGGTGGCAGACCATCCCATTTACGCACTCTAAGCATATCAAGATCTCGGCTATAGCCCAACGCCATTCTTTCCCATCTATTATATTCTGGAACATCGCCAATAGCTTTGCAATGGTCTCTTGTAGCTAAACAGGTTTTTTTCTGTTTTACCAATAACTTTTCTAAATTTTCATAAATTTCAGCAGCTGTTCCAGGTTCTGAAGTCTCACAATCTGTAGTGGATATTAATGCAAAACCATCACTACTGCTAACATTTTCATCATTCATTTGTGTTTGAGCATTAGGAGAAAGTGGAATTGAAGACATGTCTACTGGTAGTCCACAACGGCTAGCTTGAATCAATGGATCTATTCCTTTTGCTTGTCTTAAGTAATCACGTGCTTGTTCTAAATTTCCATTTTTTTTCGCCATTAAAGCTGCACGTTTGAGTTCTATTTGACGTTTTTGAAGAAGTAAAGTTTGCTTTTGAGTTTTTGTAATTCCAGGAGCTGCTGGTTTAGTTCGCGGCGGAGGAGTTGGTTTTGTATCACTCGAACCTTCAGATGGTTCTGGTGACTCTTCTTCTTTGACTTCAGGTGAAGCAGGAGTTGGAACATTTAAAACGATTGGAGGGAATCCTATAGGCACTGGAAGCTCATCAACAGGAATTGGTTTTCCACGAGCATGAAGTTTGATAGCATTTTCATATTGTTTACAAATACGACCGTATCTTCGTGCTTTCGAAGAATTCCCTTGCTCTTCGGCAGTGACTTTTGTTTTTTGATAAAATTCCAAGCGGTCTTGTAGTGCTTTAGCTATACCATCACCGGTTATTGGAGCCACAGATGATTCTTGAGTTTCGCTTTCTGATTTTTCATTTTCGTGCGTAGCTGGAGAATCGTTTGCAACTGTTGTTCCAGGTAATTCTGGTGTAGAAGGTATCGCTGATAAATCAACTGGTTGTCCTGAACTATATGCATTTATGACAACATCAAACTGCTTTGCTATTTTAACTAATTTAACCGCTTCTTCTATATTTCCACATCGTTTCCAAGTTACAGCAGCCACTCTATACTCTTGCTGTCTCTTTTTTAATAATTCTAGTTTTTCTTCATCAATAACTGGAGCTGAAACTTCAGTTTCTGGTACTGGAACTTCGGGTTCTGGTGCTGAAGCTTCGGATTCTGGTGCTGGGGCTTCAGAACTAGAATTTTCTGGGGGGTTAGCATCAGTAACAACTTCCTGTGGATTTGTAACACTATCTAGGCCTATAAATAGACTTATCATTTCATTTGTTCTTTTATTACTAAAAAAAAATTGTCATCAAATAAATGAAAATACCTTGCTTAGCAGAATTATCAGTTACTCGAGTAGCTGATGGCGGAAGCGGTGGTGGAATGTCCGCTGAATCAACATTTCTCCCTGCTTTGGCATCACGTAACATTCCTTGAAGCGTTTTAACACCTCTACTGAATCTTCTAACTTTAGACATCTCATTGTTATTTTTTGCTTTTTGTTCGGCAACTGTATATACTTCTAGTCTTTCCTCTAATATCTTTATTATTTCATCTTGATTAGTTGCATCTCCAGAAGACTGTTCTGTTGCGGGAGTTTCTTCCATATTTTCTTCACTTTTAAGCGAATCCTTGTCACCAACGATAGATTTTAATTCACTCTAAACAAAATGATTAAGAATTAATTATTATTACTTATAAGAATAATAAATAACTTAACTTACCAAAAGTTCAGGATCGTCATCATCTCCAGGTTCTTCATCCGAACCAACTTCTATATCATCTGTTATTTCCAAATTGATCGGCTGTGGTCGAGATTTTCGTTCTAGAATTTAGTATTAGTCATTACCTTTGGAATGTTTCAATTGAAATGTCTGGTTTATTTAGAATAACATAATTTAACTGTCATAAAGAAGGCATTATTCAATTAATATTAACTTTATCAATAAACAAATTACCTGGTCTTCGTGGAGGAACACCATCGTTATTGAGTATTAATTGATTCAATTCGGCCTCCAAATCTTCATCATTTAGGTCATCATCACCATTATCATTACCGATATCAGTGGCATCAAAACTGCCCATTAAATCAAATCCAAACTAGAACAAACAATTAATAATGATTTACAACTTAGTAAATAAAAAGATGACATCATGAATGTTCTTCAAAAAGTGAAATCTTTGTGATTACCGGATCATCTAATTTTCGTGCTTGTTTTCTTTCCTTTTTTTTACTAAACATCTTAACTCATATTGATTATGTATGTTAATTGTTAAAAAAATAGTTAGTTTTAAATTATTAAAAAACAATTGATAGATTTGAGAATTAGAATACGTATTTCACAATATTATCAACACAATACTCTGAAGTTATCGTTGTGAGTCATTTTGACATTATTATCCGTTACTGTCGCTGCTGGTGTATCCGAAAAACCTACGAATTTGTATTTCGCGCCCTCACAATACATTTATACCAAATTATACCTTAAATTTACTATAATCAAGTTTATTTTGATATTGATACTGCAGAGGGCAATGTGGCGATTCAATGGAATTCGAGCCTTTTTTATCTTTGTTCAATTGTAATTTTTGTAAAAAGTACATTTTTCTTCATATACATTCCTATATCGATTAAATTCAGAAGTTTTTTCTACATTTGTGGTATCCAACCAAGGAATAAACACTGATTTTCTGTGTATGATATTAATTCCCGGAAAATCCCGATGTTAATTAAACTACAAAAGCCCGAAACTGTTTTTTAGCCAGTTAAATTATATACGTGGTTGTGCTCTGACGATAAATTGTTTATAATAAATAATAATGACAATTTTCTTTGGCGTATTATTCTAAATTATCTATGAACACAAAAATGGTTTTATCTCTACTAATTCGGATAACTCCAAAAAAAATCATCTTGAAAAGTAGATGAAAATGGAAATCGAAACCGATCTCAGAGAACAAATATTTCACAATACTGTGCGTGAAAATATTGTAAGTACTTCTTTTATTATTCTTAACAACTGTCAAATAATTAATTATGAGAAAATTTAAAATACTAATAATGTAAAGAAAGTCAAAAAACCATCGGCTTTTTGTGCATAATACTTTTTGCGAACTTAAAAGTAAACTATATACAATTACCTTTTTTCAAAAGAAATCCATCGTATCATTTAATACGTTTCTTATTTATTATTATTCAGTATAAATAAAAAATGGATGAATCGTCTTATTTAGATTCTTCGATAATGTAAATATTTTTGTTTACTCACCAAATATTTAACATATATTGAATTCATAAAATCTTCAACAAAAATTCCTTGAATAATGTCGGTGACATTTTACCTTGTTCCCATTGTTAAAAATGTATTTTTTAATTTGAGTCTGATGCCAATGTTTAATTATAAATTATCCTCTTTAAGAATTACTCCATAAATTTATGTAGATTAACATTTGTTATTTTTTTCAGATATTCCTGCTATTGTTCATCATTTTATATATTTCAAGTTACATCTTAATAGCAAAGTTTCATCGAAAGGATCGTGAAACTTTTTGTTCGGTCGACGATGATGATGTTACAGTATACAGAATTAGCCTTTGGCTTTGTACAACTTCGATGGCAGTTTCAATTGGAGCAGCTTTATTATTGCCTGTTTCGATCGTAAGCAATGAAGTTCTCATTATCTACCCTAACAGTTATTACGTCAAATGGCTAAATAGCTCTCTCATACAAGGTAGAAACAAAATTAAGATTTAGATGTACTGGCATTTCATGTTATAGAAATCAATTTGTTTATACAAATTGTGAAAAACTATAGTTTAACGTGAAATGCCGTTTACATATTTATATTTCGTTTAAATCAATAATTCTACATTTTCCTTGTAATAGGTCTATGGAACCATGTATTCCTCTTCTCTAACTTATCATTGTTTGTTTTTTTACCATTTGCCTATTTATTCACTGAATCAGAAGGATTTGTTGGCTACAAGAAGGTATATTCGATAAATATTTATTTTTTGTCAATTATTTAGATATATTTTTTTAATTTTATCCTTACTTATTTAGGGTGTTTTAGCAAGAGTTCATGAAACTCTAGTTGTACTTTGTCTAATAGGAATTCTGATTTTGGGAATAATATATGTTCTAGCAGCCTTAATAGATTACCAGAGATCGAGTTTTATTACTATGCTCAGTACGTATTTATTAAAAAATTTTTTCCAATATTCCAATTCATGAACAACTAATCCTGAAACTTAAATACATGATTATTTCAACTAAAGCTTTTAATACTTTCAGATTTATGGAATTATTATTTAACGTTTCTATATTCCTGTGTTTCTTTTGTTGGAGTAGTAATGTTATTAGGTAAGTATATTAAATTCAATTAATTGATCGAATTAACTTTATCCAATATCAATATTGTAGGTAAAAATCTTGAATAATATTTAAAATCGTTTTATTTTATTTCAGTATGTACACCAGTAGGATTTATCAGACTCTACGATGTAGTAGGCTCTTTACTTATAAAACCTCACTTTCTCAAAAATTTAGATGAAGAATATTTTATTTATAAATTAGAAGAAGATTGTATTAAAAGGAGGTAACTCATTCATTATAAATCAATGCACATTGATTGGAAGACAATACAATGTTTATATTTTTGATTCATCTTTTCAAGGTTAGAGCATGCTAAAACTTCGGGTAAATCTTATGTTTCACCAAGTCCAATGTCTTTACCACGTTCTAACTCATCCTGCAATGATGAACAACAGCTGATTTGGAATTCGAATTTTATGTGTTTAAAAAATGGAGCACTTCAACGTGAGCTTGTAGAAAGACTAATGAATGTTCAAAAGCGGAGACAAATCTTAGATCAACAACGAAAAATTTGGTGGGTTCGACGGACACTAATGTACCCAGCTGCAATGTTAACTCTCATTGCGTTATCTACGACTACTGCATTACTAGCTTTACAAAATACTTTGGAGTTACTCATCGGAATAAAAGCTCTGCCTTTGAGTACACGGGTTAGTGAACTACTTTAATAATTTCTAATTAAATTTTGAAACTTGAATATTCAAAAAATCATGTTATATTAATTATTATAGCAATTCACGCTTGGAATCAGCTCATTATCCAAGTTGGGTCCAATTGGTGCTGGTATAGAAGTGATAGTGATTCTTTACTTAGCTACCACAAGTGCTATTGGTCTTTATGGATTGCCAGGAATTAGAAGAGTGAAGCCGTGCTTACATGCAACACCTTTTACAAATTTAATTGCAAACTGTGCAATTTTTTTAGTCCTTAGCTCTGCGTTACCGCTCTTATCACGAATTTTAGGTACGTAATTGTGTAAAATAGTAGTGCATAATATTAAAGAAATACGAACATAATATATTTAACTGAAAAAAATTTTTTTAGGTATGACAAATTTCGATTTATTAGGAGATTTTGGAAAAATCGAATGGCTCGGAAATTTTAAATTAGTTTTATTTTATAATTTGACGTTTGCGACGGCTGTAATCACATGTCTGACAACCAAATTCACTGCAGCTGTCAGAAATGAACTGTATATGAGAATACGAAACAGCATAAAAGGATTATTCAAATTAAAAGACACATGAAAAAATTTAAGTTTTTTGATACGAATCGAATAAATGTTCTGTCATGACAGAGAAAATAGATAACAATAAAAATTTAGATAAATATATATATATATAAATAAATATTTTGTTTAATATGTACGTTGAAATATTTATAGTTTGATATTCAATACAATAATGCGCTAGTAACGATTGTTATTGTTTTTTTTTCTATAATATAATTAATTATATTCTCGTATAAACTTGTTTATTTTATTAGTACTATGAGTATGTACTAAATAATCTAATGAGCAAACTTGGGAGGTCTGAGAATTGTTATAGATAGCTTTTACAATTTTGTATATTCAAAATGATTGTACATGTTTTTTCTTAGAAGAAGTTTTTATTTTCTATGAATATTAATATTAAAGCTCAGACTCACCATTCATCTCTAAAAAATTTTAACCAACTTAAAAAACACATTTTTTAAGATAAGTACATCATTAAAATAATAGTTCCACCATATTTAGTTGACAATAAAGTTGTTCGAAACATAATGCAAAAATTATTCGTTGTATATGTCCAAATAATCAATAATAAGTACATTAATTAATTTCTATAGACTCTCTCCAATAACCCTCTTGTAATACTACCGGGAATGGGTTGGTGTTGCTTTATTAAACTTCTTAATCTTGTTGCTACTTCTTCTTTCACCTGCTCTGGAGTTAAGTTGTGATTTAAGGTAATTGGTTTTCCAACATAAGTTATAAGTTTAACAGGAAAACCACCATATATTGGAGCAAAAGGAAATCGTGTTAAAGAATAAATTTTTAACCACATTCTCCTTCCCCAACTTACGGTTCGAAAAGCTTCTCGAAGATTTCTTGTAAAAAAAGGTACAATTTTCTGAAACGATGAATTAAATTAAAATGATTATTACAAATGATAAAAATAAAAAAAAAATCTAGATTCATACCACTTTAGCATCAAGTGCTACTTTTGCAAAACCCATTCTATTTTTCCATAAAAGTTCATAATAAGAATCACCGAATTGAGCTTCGTATACACCTCCAGGTGATATAGCCAACATATTGCCATCTTGTAAAATAGTAGAACATGTTTGAATCGTTCCAGGTATTATTTTCAATACGTCACTTATGATAGAAAAACCTGGTGTTTTAAATAAAAATTTATCCGCAACAGTATGAATTACTTTAGAATGTAATAAAATCATTTTAGCCATAAAATAATAAAGATCAATAGGTATTGCACCATGGTAATAAATAAAAAGAACAGGTTCATCCATAGGGATATTCTCTATCCCAACGATTTCATATCCTACAAAATATCATTAAAGTTCATCATCAAAGTAGCTTTAATTAAAATATTGTTATTATTATTTACCATGATATATATAACCATGAAAATCCCAAAGTGCAGCTACCATACTTCGGGCTGCATTTTTCCAATCTTTGCCATAGGCTTCTCGTAACTTAACTCTGTGAATAATTTCAATTTAAGATCGTTATGATAAAAATTATAAGGTAATTAGCTTTTACCTATGTAATTTATAAATATAAAAAATCCCCGCAGTAGTGTATAAAAGTATAAGTATTAATACTGGAAGTAGAAAAGTAACTATCAAAGGCATCAATAACCATGTTAACCATAAAGTAACATCAATGTCTATATATTGTACTGAAAAAAAAATATATATTAAATAAATAACTTTGTAATATTTTATTTTAAGAATAATAGTGGTATCATTGATGAATTTTTAAAATGGCTCAAGGATAAAAGTAGAACAATAGAAACTATAATGTGAATAAACGATGATAGTGCATAAATTTCAACTTACCAATAATATATTTAAAAGATTCAAAATAATCAATAATGAGCATAATCATTTTTAATTTTTTTATAGAAAAAAATCGATTATCACATTAACAATGGAATTATTATGATATACATATTAATTAAGCATTGTTAACATAAGGTAATAGATTATAATAATTTATACATTTACAATTTTTTTAATTCTTTTACGTAAGTTTGCTCTTTGTATTCGATAAAATACCTTAGTTGAAAATAACATAATGTTAATTTTCTGAGTATTAGTACAGAAAAACTTTAATGTTTTACAACTGTATTATTGGAGCAAACAAATAACATATTCTCTTGAATAACCTCAATTTCCAGTACCATATGATCTTAATATTATGGCACAAATTAACACTAAAAAGACACAGAAAAATTAATCATCCTGTTGAACTATTAAATATTTATAAAAAATTTTTTAAAACGTTTTTTAAATAGAATGATCATTCTCAGCAATAGACAACACAACAATTATTGAAAAACGATTGTCACGACACCTAAAATGATAGTA